TTTTTACTTGTTTATATTTTGACCATAATTTCTTTGGAAGAACAATTTGTGAAAAGTTGTTTAAATTCTTTAGACTTTGATAGAGCATTGATTACAATCCTTTTTCTGGTAGTTCAATTTTATTTCAAATGTAATTTTTTGTATTCAAAATTTGTGACTAAAACACACAATAAATTCACATTATAGGTAAAAAAAAAAAAGAGAGAGAGAGATCTACATGACAGTATTATAAAACCATGAGACTGACAGTACTGACCTGTAGTAATTATATTGGTGGTTGCAAAATGGTGATTTTTCTAAATCTGTCATTCCTTCTCTAGCATTCTTCTCTACAAAGGAGCTTTGCTTCACACCTCTTTCTTTCAGTACCTTTCTCTCTCTTTTTCTGTCTCTCATCACTATGGATTTACAGATTTTTAAAAATTTAATATATTGTAATCTATTCCTGTTATTTTTGTTTTTTATCTTCCACTTGTCCCATTCTGGACCAGTGGAAGTCTTGTTGATGGCTCCTTTTGAAATGACCTAGTAGTCTTTAATAATGTCCTTGTTCTCAACTATACCAAGGCTCATCCCATGCAAGCTCAATTTATATATGTTCTGCCCCAGATCTGGAATCAGCCATTTCTCAGAGAAGCCCTGGTTACTTTTAGTGGAGAATGCTTGTTTTCCAGTAGTTGGCAATATTAATGTGGGATCAGACTTAGTGGGGCAGTTCTGGCTCACTGGTGGGACTATTCAATGTCTACTAGAATGCAAGATTCAAGATAGAAATACCAGTTGGAAATAAACTCATCTCCAGGGAAGAAACGGTCAAAGATAGCAGCAAAGCTCTTACCAGCATCTCAGTCATCAATCGGAGCAATAGCTCTGCATAGTGCCTCACACCTAGATTTGTTTTCCAGCTTCCTGTGAATACACGAATATCTTAGGGGAAAGGAGGATAGTGAGCAAAACCTAAAATGCTGACTAAAATGTCTGTAAGACTTGAGAATGCAAGATAATGTGGCTTTCAAGTTCATATGGCACACTACACCACAAAGGGGAAGTGTTCTCTGTTTCTACTCAGAACACAAACTGGCTTGACTCGTCACAGGCTTTAGGAACACTGTTTTGTGTAGAGGGTTTCAGCACATTCAACTCTGCCTATGGCAGCACTGGGATTTGGGAGAAGTGTCCAAGAGGAGACAGTTAGGCTCTGTCAAATGACAAAGGACCTGCATCTATTTTTTGCATGCAGCGGAGGCCTTAGAGCTGAAAAAAGAAGGTAAGTGTTTGTTCATTAGCATACTGGGATACATCTTGGTGATTCCCAGTAATGAAGGGGAAAGAATTTGATTGGGTATAGAATCCCTTTGAGAGGAGGTGAGGGTGAGTAGCCAGTTCTACAGAGTAGGCATTTCATTATTCTAAACACGAACTGTGGTGGTTTAAAAACATGTCTGTAAATCTTTTGACACTTCTTCCATTGAGAGGTGAGATCTATATATCCTGTCCATGAATTTGAGACAGACTAGTGACTTTTTTGTATCCAATAAAATGGAGCAGAAGTGGTGCCCAGTGACTTTGGAGGCTAGATTATAAAATGCAACACAGTTTTCATCTTTCTTACTGGAACACTATCATTTGAAGCCCTGAGCTGCTTTGTAAGAAGTCTGCCTACCTTGAGGCAGCCATGCTAGAAGGAAGCCCCGGCCACATGAATAGAGTATGTTTAGGTATTCTGTCTCACTGCCCCAGCCGCTATATCAGTAAATATGCCTCTAAAGGATTCCAATCTCCAACCATTAACATAATCCCAGGAATTGAGTCTTCCCAGCTGAGGTTCCAGACATCATGGAGCACAGATAAATTATCTTTGCTATGCCTTGTCTGAATTCTGACTGAGAGAATAATTTTTTACTTTGCAAAGGAAAAAACTATAATGTTTGATCCTCACAATGATATAGTTAGGTAGGCTGGACTGGCATTATTATCATCCTCATTTTATAGATTAAAAACCAAAACAAAAAAAACAGGGATTTAAGTTTACCTGCTTTGAGATTACATAGCCAAGATGTGGCATGCTGACACTAAAATCCTTATCTTTGGACTCCAAAGTTTATGCTTGCTCTGTTGTTTCTTATCTGGATACTGTGGA